GTTAATGCCTTTTTAACAATGGTTCTGCACAATAATTACAATGAAAATATAAACAGTCCACATCAATCAAATACAATTAAGGTAATACAGAAAAATATTTAAAAAAATTGAAGAATCTCCAAAAATACATTTTTTACAATAAAATGGTAAAACATCAGCAATGACAATTAATTATATACGGTATATATTATATATATATTGTATATATATATATAAATTAAAAGGCAAAATACTGAAAAACAGCAGTGTTGTGGGAATATGTATAAAACAATACGAAGTGAATCAAAATTAAGGTGAACACGTTGACACTTCAGGATGTACATATTTATAATATATATAAAACATATATATATATATATTAACAAGGACGTTATATATAACTGCAGGTCTAATGATTATGTAATATGTACATCAACTATATAATAAGTTGATCACTCATTAAGTTGTATACATAGAATTGCACACAGTTTTAGGTACTGATGAACATTATAGACTATAATAAGCCCGGACATAATTTTATACAAGGCCTATTAATATACTGTACACCTCAAGCTTTGTATGTATGGAATTCTATGTACAATTTAGTTATTGATCAACTTATTCTGATTTACTTACGGTTTTACTTCTTCATTGAATGAAATAGTCCCCTGGAAAAGCATCAACAACACAGAGGTAAGTATCACTGTTAATTGCACACCAGTATACATCATCATACCGTTTGGTTTCTCAAGATAGCACGGAATGAGTTGCTAACTTCATGCGCTTAATCAAGGTGGCAATATGATGACACTCAACCTGATTTCTTGATTTTTTTTTACCAATTGTCTCAAATAACAGGATGCACGCCCCCAAAAGTACTACTGACATTATGTAATACAAATTAGACGAGACATAATTCTTGACATGAAGTTTTCAGACCATATGGATTTTAACTTGTTAGATTTTACTAAAAGCTGGCCTTATATATTGTGGGAAAAACAATCCAATACGAATTCATTATTCACAATTGCCCAACGCACGCACGCAATATTACGGATTCCAAGTTGGAGGAAGTCACTTCCGGTAGATCTGGTTAACTTTCATGGTGATAATACGCATCGATAATGACTCCCGTGAGACAATTAATAAGAGAGAAGGGTCAATAAAGTAATACAAACACAAAGAAATAGTGAATTTGCGGGAGGTACGATCCGTGTGAGATTCTTGTTTGAATCTGGGAGTGCTGAAAGCCATCCCGATTTCCGGGGGACTCAGGGGTGTATCCAGGATTTTTTCTGGGTGGATCGTGATCATCATTTTTTGTACCTTTTCACAGTGAAATAACAGCAAGATGGGATTAAAATGTCAAATTTTCTTAAGCGGATCAGGCTCAGTTTTAGAATTGCTGGAATTGAGATAAATTACGTCACGCAATTGGTGGCAAGGTCTTTGGACTCATTGCTGGTAGCTCATCATTGCTTTTTTACTTATGTCATTGTGAAAAGACCCAGAAAAAAATGTAGACCTTTGAAATTTTTTTTGGGGGGGGGTGTTAGGGTGGGGTCGTAGGACCTTTCCGACACCCATGGGACTCCCGCGCCTAGCGGGAGATAAAAATAAAATGATACAGACAGTGATGAAAGGCCTTATAACAGAACCACCAACTGTAAAAAAGTGGAACAGAGAGGGAGGGAGATGTGAGCCTAAGATACACCAAAAAGAGAGGATATACAATAAAATTTAACTTAAAGATTTACATATTTCTTTATTAGGCCTACATAATTTCAAGAGAAAAAAAAAAAAAAAAAAAACACAATATAAAATGTCCTCCAAGGATTACCAAAAGTGAAACACTATCAAGTTAGGTATCAACAATTTATTACCTTGCTTTAAATCAATCTAGTGCCCTATCATGTAGAGGTATTTGGACCTAAAGTGCGAGTCCCGTCCAATGTATTCCTGTAGCAGCACGATGAGATATTTACTTCTACCAATTAAGCCTAATAACAAAAAACTTTGGTATATCAAATTCAGTTGGGACGTTTAAAAAGAGAGTCACCAAGATTATAAATCAATAGATTAAATTAGTTGGGCAGATGGATTTATTCGGTGTAAACAACAAGGATAGCCTAAAAGAGTCTAAAGAAGACTTATTTCCAGTGTGGTTCTTTCTTATAGTGATTGGGCAATACACCAGGGGACAATCCCCTAACTCTTTTCCGAATAGTGTACTGCGTTATCTTAACGTGCACACGGGACCAAACGACTTTTAACGTCTCATCCGAAAGACGGTGCGCTATCGCATTTGCATTTCAGCCCTCCAGCTGGAACGCAAGAAGAGTAACGATGGGAATCAACCCGGGGACCTGGAAATCTCCATCCACGGTTTTCAGTGCACACACAGTGTAGCTACCACCGACTGAGCTAAGCAGTAGGCCAATATCAAACACGTCGTGAACATTGCCTACTTTTTTCTCTTTCGCGGATTAAACCTCATTTATTTCAGTCATGTCCCCCTTTTTGCTTTCAAGATTCAAGATAGTTTTTATTGTCCATTAAAAATAACAGAAATTCATTTGAAATCAAAACAAGTTTAAAAGTATGCACTCAACCCAATTAAAAAAAAAACGCCAAAAAAAAAATAAAAATAAAAAATAAAAATACAGATCTACGTTAAAGCTTATATATATGAACAGTGTTTTATACTCATTTTTTTCATTCGCTTATAATGGTAAAGGTAAGGTAAAGATAGGAGAATAATCATAACTTGGAGCGTCATTGTGTTGAATTGCGTATGGGCGTGGTCCGTGACTACCTAGCAGCCGTAAAGAGGCGCTTATAGTAGCTACGTGTTCACATCATTCAACAACAACAGGGGCTGAAATGAACCACAGCATCGGGGTAATTTCCTGCTCTTCTGAAAGATTCAATGGGTTCCTCAAAGTGTACACGAGTCAGATGTATACACCGGACCTCCATTTTAAGTCCGTATCCGGGAAGACTTGGGGCCGGATTTATCAAACTAGAAAATCAGCTTAAATTCAACTTAAGTCAATTTTTTGCTTAAGTCAAATTGATCAATATTGCTTAGCTTCAAAATTGCTTAAAATTAAAAAGTCGACTGTGCACATGCGCCATCTAAGATGATTTTTAAGCTAATATTTTGCTAAGATGGTTTGATAAATCAGCTGAAGAT